AGTGCTGACTGAAGTAAAATACTTTACTTAGGTCTAAGTTTGTGCTCTAGTCTCACCGACTGTCTAAAGATTAAATGCAATGCAGCATAGCTCAAACAAGGGCACCTGTCAAACTAGATGCAACATGTGGTATTATGAATAAAATGGAAAGCTTCAAAAGTGGTTCTTTCATTTTTTTTCAGTAGTAGTTTACATTACAAAGTGGATTTCCTTCTAGGGAACATTCTCAGATTGTCCAGGTCTGTAATGGATAAAGGAAGAAGAAAGTTGTGGGAGTCCATCAAAAGAGAAGTTGCTTTCCATTCCAGATTATTATGTGTATTATGTAAATTATCACTTTATTTCTGTAATTTCAGGAGCCCACAGGACTGTATAAATAGAGTCCAAAAAGCATGAGATGATACAGCAACAGAATGGATTAATGAGATTTGTTTTACTTCTCACTGAGGTTTACTGCAGGTCTGATTTCAGGCAGTGGGAGGTTGTGCTTCACTGCTTTTACCACCTACTTGACTTATGGATTCCTTCAGTCAGTGCTAGGTGTAATAGGGATTAGTCCCACTGATTGCTCAGAATCCTGAGTGTTGGTTTAGGTTGTGCTGGGAGAATGCTCTTAATGTGTTAAGTGCCCTAAGCAGGTGGTGGGTTGTCTGATTTGCACCACTGAGCACACATTTAGGGCTACATGCAGAAGCAATTTGTGGATGTCCTCCTGATCAATAGCATTGTAAAGTCACTGGAACAGTAGCTGGAGGACTACAAAAGGCATGTAGCAGGGAGCTAGTTGGAAGATCCTGGGCAGACACAGAGATTTGGGTAGAATTCGTGACACATAATAGGTTATTTACAGCGATATATGACAGTTGTGATTTAGTCTTGTGGTGGTTTCACCCTTTTGGTTTGCAGCCAAACACAGCCTGCTCTATCACTGTCCCCACCCCTCCAGGGAGTAGGGAGGGGAGAGAATTGGAAGGAAAAGGGCAAGGAAACTCACGGGTTGAGATAAGAACAATTTACTAATTGAAATAAAGTGATAATGATAACAGTGATAACAGAATATACAAATGAGTGATGCCCAGTACAGTTGCTCACCACCCGCCGACCAGTGCCCAGCCTGTCCCAGACAGTGATCCTGGAGCAGAGACAGTCCCCAAATCCAAACCATGGAAGAGTGAGAGCCCGAGCCATCCCCGAGACAATACCCCCGTTTTCTGGTCAACCCTGGTTAATACACTAAACATGAGGTGAAATGATCTGGAATATTTCATTGGCACATCCAAAAGCCAGTTCTGGGTTTCACTGAGCTTCTCCCTCCCAGTCCTAGTGCAGCTGTGAACAGCCAAACACGATGGTCTTGAGCTCCAGCAGCAACTAATAACATTAGTACTTTATCCACATTCTCATAACAGATCCTACACTGAACCTAAAACGCAGCTATTCTGGCTACTAAGAAGAATATTAACTCTATCCCAGTGAAACCAGGACAAGTCTGTAGTGGAAGGTGTACTCATGACAATATCATTTAAGATGATGTAATTGAGCTTAGGCAGCACAAGTCTAGTGAAAAGTTTTTAAGTGTGCTTTTAGAACTGCTAGATGGACAGCATATGATTTTCTGAACATATGTGGTTCTTTTTTACATAAAAAAAAGGAAAACCATTTATGTATGTCTTGTTTGAAATTATTAGTTGCATTAACTAGACAGAAGTTGTCTGAGGCTGCATTGATTAGAGTATATCTTGTGCTTAAAGTACGGGTTTTGAATAATAAGAATAGATGTTGTAGGTTCTTTGATTTCCTTGGTCCTCCTAGAGACCAAGGAGAGCTAAGGGCATAATCTTTTAATATTTTAGTGGTCTCTTAAGGTTTTCATTGGGAATGATCCCATTATTTTGAACACTTTTGCCATGCAGCAGGTTGCCATGGCTGTCAGTGAGAGTTAAAGATTGCAGTTCTTCTTTCTAATAATGAGAACTTGAAAGATGACAGATGGATAGGAGCTTCACCAAGTACTTGTACATTGCTCTAGCTTTGTCTTTCTGGATCATGCTGGCTTATTTGGGTTGATACCCAAATAACGTTTGCACATACCATATGTTTAGCACGTCAGTGAAGAGCGTTGCCTTTCAGATACCCAGCTCGGTTCTTTTAGCATATGGAAGAAGTGCCCATAGGCAATGGGGAAGGACTTGGCATATGGGATCTTCACAACCTCCTCATGTGATAAAAACAGTATTCCTCACTAGGGATGTTCATAGCTGGGAAACTTCTACTTGTCAACCACGATACTTGGGCCTTCCCTTGTGCCGTCTCACGATATTTCCTTTTGTCCAATTTGGTCTCAAACCCAGTTGTTCTCAAGTTATGGGGGAGGGTAGACTTGAAATGTTGAGTGTGAGAGGCAGATTCCTTTATTTCTGAGAACTATTTGTCTTTGGTTTGATCAAGGACCTCTGTGATTAATGTCACACATTATTTAGCTTTCTTAAGTGGATTGATATCCATATAAATCTGTAAGGAGAGTGCTTGAAAAAGTATATGTCAACAGATGCTGAAAATAATAAATTAGTAATAGTAAATACTTTGTTTACAGAAGGTGGCCTTCAGACACTGCAGTGCATTTTCTTGTGTCTCTGTATGATTAATAAGCACAAATCACATTGCACTGTCATATGCAAATATGATTGATGATACTTTAAAAAGGAGATAAAGTAATATCATCTAACTAGGTGACAATCTGTGTCAGTTCTGCCTTGTTATTTTAACTATTTTCTAGCTGTTTCTTTTTCAAATACTGAAACCTAAGGAACTTAAATAAGTATGAATTGTTTAGGTCTCCTAGCAACTTTTAGGCTTGTGAAGTAGCAATACACTGTGTGATATGTCCATCTCTGTTGACTAATTAATTAATCATTTTTCAAGTTTAATGGGAAAGGTTCAGGGATATATATTGTTTTCTAGAGAAGATAAACATCAACTCTAACTGTAATTCACAATATGTTTAAAACAATTATTCTTTATCATTAAAGTTAATAATATACACATTAACCTCTGATGTAGTCTGAATCAATACTGCAGTTTGGGAGATGTGACCCTTGGACAGCTTTGTCTAAATATTGATTTCATTGTCATTTGTTTAAGGTATGAAACAAATTACATGCCTCCCTAATATCATTAATGTAGCCCCATTGAGCTACTCAATTTATGGCTTCTTGTAATGCATGACAAAGCATTACAGAATTATTGAAGACATTATGAAATACAATTGCTTAGTGTGCTAGATTTGATTGCGGAAGGCCAATGCCAACACTCAATATCTTTCACACGCTTTGCTGTCCAAAGAAAGTCCAGAGAGAAGAACAAACCACTCCATGGTATGCAACTCACTTGTTATTTAACATCAGACAGAGTTGCCTTGGGTTCTGGGAGCAGCAATCCATTCTACAGCCTTTCTTCTTACATACTTGTAGCCTTACGAGAAAATAATAAGTACATTTCTACTCTGTGCTAAAGGCAAAGGTTGTTCTCTTCAATTGCTGCAGGAATTCAAAATAGGAGGGATAGCATCTCTCTGTCTTGGCCAGCATTTATAGGCGTTGTCATTACTGTCACAGTTTGAAATATGAGTTAAATAATTTACTCCACACTGTGATTTCTTCCCTTTATTGCAGCTCTCTTCTCACCGTGCCCCTCGTGTTTTTCTTACTGCTCCTTCCAATCATAGCTGCTCCTCAGACCTTCCTCACAACACCTTCTTATGCTTCCAGGAAATTTCAGGGTTGCCCCAAAACCCTGGAGATATCAATCTTCCCTTCTTTTGCTTCCTCCCTCTTCAGAGAGCTCCTTTCTTTTTTTTACACAACCAAGCTGTTGTTAATCAGGTTGTGTTGTAAATCAGGTTGTGTAAAAGGTGTCTACATTCCTTCTTTCTCCTTTCCAAATGCAGACCTTGGCCTTGTGGATATCTAAGGAAAAGGTTTAGTAAAAGTTTCATGTCTTCCCCCTTAACTTTCAGTTGGGATGGTTTTTCTTGCTCTTTGCTTGATATCTGAGCACTGCTCACCTGCAGTCATGGGCTATAAGCTGCTAATTTCCCATTTAAGGCCCCCCCTCCACACACACACACACACTTCCTTTCCTCATTCTTTTTCTTTCAATTAAAAAAAATAAAAATTAAAAAATCAACTTTCATATCCAGTCTAGGATACTGCTTCTATTATCTACATATTACATTTCCAAAGCAGCATCTTCACAGTTTCTCCTGTGGTGGCTTTGATGCTGAGGGACCTTCTTGTAAATATATGCAAAGCTACTTCATTGTGCTTTAATGTATACAAAAAATCTCAACCACATTTGAGCTTCTGCTGTGCTGAGACTACAGCCCATCATTCCAGCTGATACCGTCTCATTGTTTAATTGTACTTGCCCATTTTCTCTGGTGTTAGGCTTTTATCTGAGACTGTCTTCAAGGCTTTTTGATTTTGAGGAAGAGGTTTTGTACAGCGTGAAACATGTAGGGCATGGTAATCTTTGGATAAGTATCATAGGTGCTATGTTATTACAAATAATATGGAATAATACATTTCCTACATATCAAAATGCTCTAATTATGTTATCATTACAGTCAATGTAGGATTGGCACCATTAAAGTAAAGTTCTTTTAGCTGTCTCAGAAGGGTGCTTGGCACCTTTTAGGAACATGCTGATTTTTTCATCAGAAAAGTCTGTATGGTGATTTTTTTTTCTTTTTTTTTCTTTTTTTTTCCTTAAAGACAAAAAGATGTAATTTTAGTGAAGAATGTTAATAGATTATGGAGATGAACAGCCTGTTATGATCATCTTGAATATAATGCACACCATAGGACTTCCATGAATTAATTCCTGAGAGAATTACAATGCAGCTTAGGAAAAAAAAACAAAAACAATACTATTCTTTTTAAAACCTTGCTCATGGTGGGTTTTCTTAGTTCATGAATTTTGTTTCAAATTTTCTCTTACAGGTAAAAGTGACCCGTTTTGTGTAGTTGAATTGAACAATGACAGACTGCTGACACATACTGTCTACAAGAACCTCAATCCGGAATGGAACAAAATCTTCACGTTGTAGGTGTTTGGATTTTTTGACTCTACAGGGGAGTTGAGTTTTAGGGGTTGTTTTTTGGGGGTGGTGTGTTTTGAAGGGGATGTGCATGTGAATCAAAAATACCCAGTGCTGATTCTCAGGAGAGATAGTGGTGACATACTCATATTTCTAAACCAAACAGCTGAATACTTTTTTTGAGGATTAAAAATATGAAAAAAAAAAAAATAGAGAAGAGGTAGCATTTTAAAGGTAAAAAAGCAAAGTTTGTTTTTTGGAAACCAGGTATGAGTGGTGGTGCTAAGCACTCCAGATGCCTGCTACCTTCAGTGAGAGTTTCCATCATACTGGATTTGGCCCTGAAGTTTTGGGTGGAACAAAGGAGATTATGATCATGACCTTCATTAAAACAAGGTTGCTAACTTTAATGAACATAATATAACTATATAAAGGAAGGAATTTTAAATGCATTCATACTTCTCCAAATTATGATCAGATACTTTCCACTTGTTCTTTCTATTTACCAACTGCACTTCTCACAATACCATCTTGTGTAAAATCAGTATAATTCTTTTCTTGGGTAAAACTCAGTCTTAAACATTTAGTTTATTGGGAAGTGATGTCTTTGAGGGTTTTTTTTTTTTAATCCTTCTGTTATTTTGAATGCAGTAAAAGACTCTGGCAACACAGAAAAAAGTCTTCCACAAACAAAATGTTCCTGTTATTTGTCTTCCTCAGTTGCTTTCTTTTTCTCCATGCTTGTCTCTATCTGACTGCAATGTGGCACTAATGAGTAGAAAACTGATCAGTTGCAGGTTTCTCTGCTGCTGAAATCAGCTAACAATCCACTGCAAAAACAGTAAAAGCATTAGTTTTGTGTACACTTACCTCACTTTAATGTAAATGAAAATACTATGTTTTGCCCTACGATCTAAAACATAGTGATTTTAATTTCCGCCCCCCTCCAAATTTGTCATTGATCTCTTTGGCATCTGTAGTTTTTCTTGCCCTGCAGTGAGCTCTCAGGAGTGAACTCAGGACAAAAGAAATAAAATCTCAAAACAGTTCTACTTCTCATTAGCTGGTTAACGTAGTTCTCATTTATGTATCTGCAAAACCACGCTGAATTCTCCATTAATTTATTTTTAATTATCTACTAATAGAGCCAATAACTAATCAACCTCTGCTGCTCGACAGTGTTCTCTGCATAAAAAACTGCCTGGTTTTATAGAGGACAAAAGACTAATCAGGAATCAAGTAGGAAAACTCAAAACACCTTCAAGGAGAGTTTTCATCTCTTTTCTATGTATATTTGCATTGACTGTTTTATTTATCCTCAGATTGATTAATTAATTTTGGGCTAGCCATCCAGTTTCATCTGGAGGCATGTATTTTACTGAAGTTAAACTGCTTTGCTTGTATTCGTATTTCCTGGATCAGCCATTTGATCAAAAATGAGCTCTCTCAAACAATTCATTTTTTTTTTATTTTCCTCTGAATAAAAAGAATGTGAATTTTTCACTTGAGAGTTTACACTATGCAGTGGCATTTGTTGTGTAGGGTGGTGGAGTGTTTGCAGGCAAAAAAAAAAAAAATAGTACTAGCTGAAAAATGCAGCTTTTTGATTTGCTTGTTCCTAATTCGTCGTAACGACTGTTGTATATTTGTAATTAACGAAGGATTTTAGAAGTAAGGAGGTTGTTCTCAGTGCGAGGACGTGCTTGCAGAGCTCGTAGTTATTTTCATTTACAAACAGACAGATTTCACAGTGTTTGCAGTAAGAATTGCTGCAAGGATTAGCAGCGTTTAAGGGATAGGTTTTTTTTTAGAGGCTCTCAGTCCTCTGCTTCTGGCTGTAAATTCCCCCCAGTGCTGCTCGGCGCTGGCTTCTCCTTGCAGTGCAAATCCCAGGTAGGAGATTTAAAACAACATTCCTTTGGAAAACTTCTGCAGGGAAAGCCTGTCAGAGCGAGCGAGTGATCGCTGCAGCCCTTAGAAAGCACTTTACGGAGGGATGCCTCGTTTACTTAAGTTCTGTTCTCTGCCACGGTTTGGAAAAATAAAGGGCAGGTGTCTGTTTTTGCTAACCTTTCACGTTTTTTTGTCCTTGGTGGCCACTGGTGTAGGTGACTTCTTCTTTCTTCTGTGTGTGCTTCTCCCTCTGTAGCAATATTAAAGACATCCACTCGGTGCTTGAAGTGACAGTTTATGACGAAGACCGCGATCGGAGCGCTGACTTTCTAGGCAAAGTTGCTATACCGTTGCTGTCTGTAAGTTTCATTCACCTGACATACCGCTCTGTATTTTTTCCTATTGAAGAGAGAGAATGGAAGGGGGGGGGTGAAAGAAAAAAAAAAAAAAAAAAAAAAAAAAAAAAAAGGAAAAAGAAAAAAAAAGAAGGGAAGAAAAAAATAAAAAAAGATTTGCAGCTCTGTGTCTGTCATTTCTCAACCAAGGTCTGTAATAAGAACACTAAAATTTTAACATACTCAATTCACAGCCATGTTGAATCCCATGATAGTTAATTTTTCCTGACAGACTCGGTCCTGGTAATGAACAGGTACTTGTCAGACTTGCCACAGTTGTTTTGGGTTCTCTGTCAGTTTCAGCAGCTGGGGGTCAGGGGTCACCGGGGGGGTGTATTCAGCGGAGACCGCGAGACAGACGGCTGTCATGTCCTTTTCCTGCAGATTCAAAATGGTGAACAGAAAGCCTACGTCTTGAAAAACAAGCAGCTGACAGGGCCAACAAAGGGGGTCATCTATCTTGAAATAGATGTGATTTTTAATGCTGTAAGTCTTAACTTTGGCTTTTTTGTACTGCTAAAAGAGTTCAGTTTCATGAAAGCTTTTGTTCCTGATTTGTAGAGAATTTCTGTCATTCCTCATTTTCTCTAAAACCTTGATGTATACTACAGAATACTCTTCTGCCACTGCCTGGCACACCCACTCTTTTTGTTGCTGCTGCCACTGCTATCGCTGCTAACGTAAGGAGCAGCAACTCATGCCTCTGTGTACGTTTCTGTCTCGTGGGCTTGGCAGCCCTGACTTTGAAACTTCATAATTTTTGCAAATTTCGAAGCATGTGTTATTAGTAAAGAAGCGAGTAAGCTTGAAATACTGACACACCTTTTTTAATGCGTAGGTGAAAGCCAGCATACAAACCTTAATGCCCAAAGAAGAGAAGTACATCGAAGAGGAAGACAGACTGTCTAAACAGGTAAAGAGTAAGGAAACACTAATCCCTTCCCAAAGCCTTAATATCAAGCATCCAAATATCTGGTATCATACTGCTGAGGGTAAAGAATAACATTTTCATTACCTGTTTACAAAAGAATATGATAGGTTAGAAAAGGCAGAAACAAAATACACGGGTTTATTGTGTCTCCGCTATAAATTGGAGCTTAATTTCCATGAAATACGTGAATAAGAACACAGTTGAAACCATCAGGTTCCACACATATCAGATTATAGCACAGGTGCATGTAAACTAAGTCTTGCATAAATTTTTGCTGTTAACCTTGACCCGAAAGATCTCCATTTGTTGCAGGGTAGAGAGTCTTTCAGCATTCTTTTAACCAAATTTTAAGTAAGTTAAGTCAGTAAGGGGTGAAAGGAGACTAAAACTCTTTATTACTTTGGAGAGTCGTGGGTAGCAAAGGTCTGGACTCTTCATTTTTTCTCTGGATATTTTTGCTACAGACAGTTTTAATGTTTTGTTAAAAAATATTTAAACACACATCCTATCTTTTTCTCCACTTGAACTACTTCTGATTCAGTTTTTCATGTTCCACAAATGATGTATTTTGTATGGAGAGAACTGGGCTTTTGGTTGGGCTGTGGGAACAAGGTTTTTGTTGTTTGCAGTGAAAAGGCAAAGGTCTCAAAACTGGTTTTTTTTATTTCACTGAAAGCTTGTAGACTTGAGAATAATTTAAATTTTCTGCTAGATTAATTTTATATCAGTTGTATGATGTATATAATTTAAAAATATTTTAAGAGACAGAATATTTCTTTCTTTACTGTTGTGAGTAATGCAGTCGCTGAAGGTGCGATTTGCACGACTGTTCCAGCAAAGAGGCAGCAAGGCCTTTTAGTCAAGATTCATTCTGCTCCCCACTTTCATGACAGAAAATGGCATTGTGATTTTTGCAGATGGCAGGAGGAATAAACTTTAAATACCCACTTTGAGTTGTGGTTTTTTTTAGATTAACTTGCTTGGGATACCCTGCCACAATACCACTTAGAGCAGGATAAAAAAGGGAATTTTTTTGTATGATTGATGCAATTGCATTTTAAAACATCCACGTTTTCCAAGAGCAAGTGTCTCTGACCTACCTAGCATTTTCTGTGCTACTCAGTGTATACATTAAGTCACTCACTTTTTTATTTTTGGTCAAATATATTACCATTTTAGAGGATTTAAGGGTATCATCCTGAATTAAAAACCCAGCGCCGTTATGTCTCATCTCTCTCTATATACATTGAATGTATGCAGTTAAAGTTACTTTGATAAATACTTAAAACCATGTGCTCAAAATACATCACAGCAGACAGATTTGTTACAAATTAAGAACAAAATGGATGCAAAGGGTGCAAGTGATCTTAATTAGATTAGAACAGTAATTTTGCATGGTTTTAGCTTAGTGTCCTGCAGCATCTTTCTATTAAGAAAGGCCAAAATGTGTTAAGTACTTGAGAATGGGGAAGGTCTTGCCTACTTAATAAAACTCTGAATTCTTAATGCTAAAATCATGAGTGAAATTTTGCAAGTGGCTTTTTAAAACTGAACAACAATTTGTGTACCATTTAGAATTAGATTCAACAAATACAAATTGAGACAACAAACAAATTCTCTCTCTGCCAAGTCTCTCAAATTTTAAACTCTCTTTCTCAATTTGTGAGCTGGAAAGCTTAACATGTTACTCTCTCAATCTTCACCCAAATTAAGAATGACAATATTGTAAGCATGAGCCTCTTTTGAAGCTTTTGGGGTTTTGAAACGTTTCCATTCTTTCATCTTTTTACCAGCTCCTGTTAAGAAACTTCATGCGGATGAAGCGTTGTGTCATGGTGCTCATCAGTGCCGCCTACTACATTAGCAGTTGCTTTGACTGGGATTCTCCCCCAAGAAGTCTTGCTGCTTTTTTGGTATGATTTTCTTTATATTATTGTTAATCGTCCTGGTGTATTTGTATTCTAGACTGAGATATAATACAGTATTGATTGGGGAGGGGTTCTAATATTTTTTATTTAAAACTTTGCGTTATGAAGATATCGCAAATCATGTTTATTCACTTTTTAAAAAAGAAGTAATTAAGTTAAAATGTCACACAAACAAGACAGGCCTCTTTTTTAAATTTACAATCGTACAAATAACCTAAGCAAGTGATACAACTCAAAATACAGTCAGTGAACTATGGATGATACATCTTGAGCTTCTCACACTACTTCTGTTAAATTCTGTTTGGCTCCCTTGTATATTGCATATTTAATACTTATTTAGAATATTTCATGAATGCTTTTATGTATCATGAATATAAAATCAGTATTATTTTGTCCTCCACATATAAAGACACCTTACACTATAACTTTTTTAGAAGTACAAAGATCTGTACCCAGATAGTTGCTTCTTAACTGCAATTTAGTGTTCTTGGTTTAAAACACAAAACAGAACAAAATTTTAAAACCTCAACTTTAAAATCACAAATACAAACAAACTTTTAGTACCTTTTAGACCTCAGGCTCTGATCATAGTTTAGTTTTTAGTGAATTCATTTTTAGTGATAAAAATGAAACTGCTATTTCTCCATAAACATTAGCTTCACTAATATCAACCTTTATTTTCCTGTTAAATTTGGAAAATTCCAAGTATAATAATAGTTTGGATTGTGTTTCCCAGATGAGTATTTTTTATTTCCATAAAAATATGAGCTACAAAGAAGTCCAGAGTCCTGGTTTGCTCTTAGCCTGAGGGGGTTCCACCAGGAGTAAAAATGTATGCATGGAAAAACTTTCTGGAACATCTAAATTTATTAAGTTGACTGAAATACTGAAGTTATGGGCCTCTCCACCGTAAATATGAACAAGGAAAGGTTTTGGTCTTACTTTGAATAATTATAGAAGGAATCTGGTGACAGTGCTTCTAGCTTGGGTGCCTCAAAATTTGGAGAAATCTAAGTATTGAAACTGGCTGCACTGGAGCAGTAAAATGGGGTACTTTTGCGTGTCACTAAATCACGTTGTTTTGCAGGAAGTTTCTTCTATCAGAGCTCAGTTTCAACTGAGTGAGTTGTTAAACCCTGCTGTAGCTTATCAAAGGATGGCAGCAAGCTGTCGGTCCTTGGTTGCAGTGTTCATCAGGACTACAGGAGACAGATGTGCTGTTCAAACTCCCAGGGCTTTTATACTTTTACTGATGTCTGTAGTGACCACACTATGTGCAAAAATCTGAAGTGTACGTGCTACTGTTTACTTTAGAAAGATGATTTGTCATTATTTCAGTTTAAAATGATCAAAATATCACAGGAAAATGCGGATTTCAATGGGAAACTCAAATGTTCACATAACTATTACATCTCCAGTTAAGAAATACTCATTTGTCCAAGTCTGATTTTAATATAGGTGTGGTACACCCACCTGTTACCACTGGAGGAAAGGGAAATGGAAAGACATTCTATTCCCTGGGGCAAATGAAATAATTTTTTTCTCACAGTGTGCTGCTGTGGCCATGGAAGAAGTTGTGTTCTGGTTAAATTGTAATTGTTTCCAATCACAGAAGAAATTAAAGTATTGTAATAGGTAGATGGAAATACATAAAACACAGAATTTGAGCAGGGAGGTAGGTAGTGAGTAGATGTTATTATTGTAGTTACGGTGTATTGCAGTAGAAATGTGTTCCTGATATTTATTTTAATACATATATATA